CCCAAATGGAACTTAAAATTTTTAATGTAACCAAATTATCAATCTTTCCCTTTATGGCTTTTGAATTTGATGTTATATACAGAAGCATCACTCCCACTCCAAAAATATAAATAAATTATCCATGTTTTCTTTTAGTACTGTGATGCTTTCACTAAATGTTTGATCCTTCCAGAATTTATTTTGTTATAAAAAGTTATATTGGATTTCTGGCTATTTTTCTATACCGCCAACCTGTTATTTTGAGGTATATTTAAGGCAGTAACATAGAACGTTTGCTGGTCAAACAATGTTTGACTACAAATAAAGATGAAATTACTTGTATGTTTTCATGTATTAATCTTACTTTTAAAAATATTAATAGTATACTAATTTCATGTTTTATAATATGTTTCTTTAAGAAACTGCAATTTACAAATAAACAACATCCAATTGTACATTCTGTGTTACAGAAACATGAGAAAGAAATAACCTCCAAATTCTTTTCAGCAAGAGATTCCTTACATAATACTCCACAAAAACGTTTTTAAAATGACTTTTTCAGCAGAGCTAAAATTGCCATTTTAAGGTTATATACCAGTTGAAACTGCTGTACTCTTTTTGCTTTACTAAGAAACACTGCAGTCTTTTCATCCAAGTGGTAAATATACGAGTATTCTGCCCCAGCTCTAATCCAGATCACAGAAATGATGCAATTAAAGTGCATTACATCATCCCACCCAAAATTCATTCAAACAGGCAGAAGGAAATACATGAAGAATGATTGACTAGGACATCTTTGGGAGTTAAGTCAAGCTTATGGCAAAGACTAAATGATAAGTCAAAAGCAGCAATGCCGCTAAACAATCCTAAAGGTACTACTTTATCTCCTCCTACCTTGCAAACTTTTCCCATTCAACCACCAACTGGAGCTTGACTGTATCTGTTCTCTAAGAGGATTCTTGTCTGTTCTGTGCCCAGCACCTCCCTCTGCAAGCTGGGGTGGCTGTCTCACCCTGCATGTTCTTGTCCCCCTTGTCACCAGGACGAGGTGGAAATAGCTGGTAGACAAAAAAGTGAAATTAATATCTATGATCCACCTCACCCAATAACCCCGTTCTCGGCATTTTCATACTATACACATATACAAAGAATCTGATGGCCCCTGCTTCTATAATATTTCCTATCTCCTTCCTTTCTTAAAATCTTCCATGCATATGATGAAGCTGTAAGCACATGTAAACAGGCAGCTCCTTCTAGTCCAAAATAAAAACCAAGTGCCTACAATAGCTTATAAGACTGTTACAGTAAACCTCCTCCCCATCCAAATACACACACAGCCACCTCTTGGACTTAATGGGATGAGCATTTGCCTTATTGAGAATATTCAGTTCTGTGGTAGAAGACAAGAAAACAAATGAGGTGGATACAAATCATTAGGAGTGTTAAGCATAGATAATTAAATTATTATCTAACATACCTGGGAGATATGTTAGATGAAGCAAGTGGAGCATATATGTGTGAACCTAGATAGAAAGGAATGTAAGAACCAAGTAAATAATAAAGATTCATGACATCCTAAATATACCTAAGGCACAGGAATATTCATGGTATCCTAAATACACATGAGGACATAAAGCACTCAGTATCTGTGAGGTCTGACTTTGGCCACTTGTTGGTGATGTCTGTGCAAAGCCCTTGCCTGCCTTCTGTCCTGGACATGCAGATAAAGCCCCTAAGTGCTCCTCAGGCTAACGCTACGGATCTCAGCCAGGATCTCCAACAGAGCAAGCTGTGCCAACTCCAGGCATCCTCTTCCTCACCCTCACTAGCACAGTGGGGGAGATGGATGTTGTACAGAAACAGGACCAAGGAACATTGTGTAACATGGGATTCAGGAGATGTGGCCCTTCCTCTGCCTGTACCCCAGCCTGTGTATCAACCCGCTCCATTTTCTTCTACTTACCATATGCTTTGGTTTAAATTGCTCCCATAAACTGTGTGATTTGTGTATCTTAAATCTGTTAGCTTTCAACAGAAAGCTAGGGGATCGCTTGCCTGCCTGTGTACTAGGGGGCTACCATTGCAAAGCTGTATCCATACAGTGTGGCTGACCACTGTGCTCCTCATTTGAGCACTAGCCACACTGTTCTCCTTCCTTTCCCTTAAATACCCGAAGCACATTCGGACCCCAGGACCATTGCATGTGCTCTTTCCACTGCCTGAAACACTATTCTACAGACAACATGACTAGGTCCCTCATTTCCTTTATGTGTCTCTTCCCTGAAACTCCTATATAAAATCACATCATTTTCTGGCAACAATTCACCAACACCAACTGGGTCCTACAATTTGATTTTGACACTACCTGGAGTTAGGGCAAACACAACAGGTTAAGGGTTCAGTCCCACAAAACTGCCCCCACATCAGATGCCAGCTATACATTGGGTCCCTAAGCTACCTGCATTTCTGCCCAGTCAACTATGAATTTGGGAGTTCCCATGAAATTTTTCCCCAACAAGCAGGTTCAATGATTTGCTGGAATGACTCACAGAACTTGAGAAAGCATTATACTTATGATTACAGTTTTATCATAAAGGATAGAAGGAACAGTCAAATGGGAGAGATGCACAGAAAAAGATACGGGGGACGACAGATGGTCCAGAGTGCCCATCTTTCTCCAGGCACGCCACCTCCTCGGACAGAGATGTGTTAACCAACCAGGGAGCTCCCTGGACCCTGTGTTGAAGAGTTTCTATTTATTACATGAAAGTATTAGTCGCTCAGTTGTGTCCGACTCTTTGTGACCCCATGAACTATAGCCCACCAAGCTTCTCTGTCCATGGGATTCTCCAGGCAAGAATACTGGAGTGGGTTGCTATTTCCTTCTTCAGGGGATCTTCCCAACCCAGAGACTCAACCCAGGTCTCCTGCATTGCAGGCAGATTCTTTACTGCCTGAGCCGCCTGGGAAGCCCTAAGTTTATTACATTTTCACGACTTACCAAGTCCTATCAAATCACTGGCCACTGTGATTGAACGCAATCTCTGGTCCTTCCCTCTAAAGGTTCCAACCCTCTAACCATGCAGTTGGGTCCTCTGCTGACCAGCCCCAATGCCAAAGCTAACTCAGGACCTGCCAAGAGTCACTTCATTAATGTACATTCAGGTGTAGTCAAAATGGGCTCTTTATGAATAACAAAACACCCTCCTAGCACAGGAAATTAATTCCAAGGGATTTAGGAGCTCTGTGCCAGGAACCCGGGCAAAACCATAAATGTCTGTTTTTCTTATTCCACAAAATTAGAAATATTTTCTTCTTCCTAGGTACTCCCTGTTCTCCTTGCCCTATTTATCATTAACTAGCACCCAACATGTGGGATATATTCATTTGTGTATTTGTACATGGTCGTGTCCTCCCACTAGAATGTAAACTCCACGAGGGCAGGATTTACTCTTTTTTCCCTACTGTTGTATCTCCAGCATCCAGAACAGTTTTTAGGCTAAAACAGGCACCCGGGGAGTGGATGTCATGTCAGGATAGAGTAGAGATGCCATCACCTCATCTCCTTCCTTGAGAATGTGCTTTATCCATGGGAAGGACAGTCCTGGCTTCAGTATGACTCTGCCCTCCCTCTCCCAAGTCTGGCCAGCCACATTAGGCTGTGAAAGGAACAGAAATCCATTGCACCTGGCATAGGAGTCTGTAGTGGAAACTGAAAGGCTGAATTCATTAAATGATGGTGAAAAGTGGGCCACTTGAGGTCCCCACTAGTCACAAGTCACATTCAGCAACAGGAGCAGGGAAGCCGCAGGAGGTGGAAATAGTCAGTGTGTCAACGGAGGCAGGAGAAGAGGACAGCTGTGCCCAGAGAAGTCGGGGGAAGAGATTATGTGACACCGGAGAGAGATCTAGGGGTTTTCTAGACACCATCACTATGACCTGCCAATTCCCTTCCTATCCGTGGGCATTATGAGAGTTGTCAGCTTTCAATAAACCCTCTTTGTAACTAAGCTGGTTTGAATGGTTCTTGGCCACAAATGTTCCTTGGCCACAGGGCGAAGATGGCACAGGTGTAGGGCTGGCCCAGAGAAGCCAAACCTAGGAGCCAGCTTAGCCATCTGTTCCCATTCCCGTCCCATTAGCAGGGCAAGTTATCCTCACTGCAGTACCTTCCTGACCCTACTCAAGTCGGGCCACATTGATCCTCTCTCCTGGGAATCTGGACTTAGAACGGAGATGCCGGACAGGACTGCCAGCAAGGCAAGCCATGTGTTTGGAGCATCACAGATAGCCAGTGGGCAGCAGGAGAAAGAATGAGAGAGAGGGAAAAAGAGCAGAGCGAGAGTCGTGATGAGAGACAGAGACACCGGGGGGACAGGGGTGGGTGGGGTGTGGGGAGGGGAAGGGACAGTGGGGAGGGAGAGAAAGGGAGAAGTTGCCCAGGTGCCTGAAGATGGTCCACGCCCCAGCGCCAGCCCCCATGACACTTGTATGTACCTTCCACCCTTCCTCCCATAAGACCTCTCTGCCCTACATTACATTTGCCTATTTTGCTTAAGTTAGCTTAACAGGTTTGTGCTACTTGCAGCTTACAAATCCTCCACTAAGGCAAGGTGGCATTAGCAGGCGGAGGTACACAGGTGAGCCTGGCAAGAATGGAGGGAGCCTCAGGCCCTAGGAGCCCTCATAAGGAGTGGGACAGAGATATGTGGCCTTCTGGGAGAATGTCACATTTATATTCAGCGCAAGTTCATCGGCTTCCATCACTAGACAACGAGGGGGAAGTCCCTTCAGCTGACCCTGGGGACGCTGCTTGGTCGCCTGCATGACTTGAGCCTGCCTCGCCAGCCAGAGTCAGCCACAGGAACACTGCTGGGCCCCGAGACTATCACATGGGGATTTTAGAAGTTGCTCTGCCAGAGCATGAGGCCCCTTGGCATAGTAACCATTATAGGTAGCGGGGCTCTCCTGCGCTGCATGGCACTTTCCGCCTCTGACCCTGCCACTCAATGACTGGACAATCAAGACTCCAGGCGAGGGGCAGAAATGAGTCGCCCCAACGGCCCACCTCTGGGCACATCTGGCTGTGTGGTCAGGGGGCCTCCTGGAGCTCCTGGCTGGGACTCTCGTCCTGCTTCAGCCCCAGCCTGAGGGCAGCACGGACCAGGAGACAGTCTGGTCCCCCAGCTGCTGCCATCCCTGACTGTTTGTCCCTGTATCTCATCACTGAGGTAGAGTGGGGGCTTGGGGGTGGAAGGCAGACACAGGTACCTGGGCACTTCTGAGGCTGAGCACAACACGCTGGAAGGTTTACGAGCTTTGGTCACAGAGTCCCCAAAGCAAACGCTCATCTGTGCACCAGATCTTCGCGGTTGGCCAAAGGTCCGTAGGCCCCTCTGTGCCCAGCTCTGTAGACTCCTGGCGGATGCATAGAAGGAAGGGCCGTGCCACACTGCTGAAGGGCTGTGAGCCGGCGTCTGAGCTTTCAACTGCCTGGGAAACACCGGGCCCTTAGGAGGAGCTCAGAAGATGTTTCCCAAATGAATTCTGCCTCCTATCCTGTTCACCCACTTTTAAAATTCCTTCTCTAGAAGGAAGTTAGTCACTAGATCTGCAAGTGCAGCACTAGCCCACCCCCCATCAAGTCAGGGTGTCCATCCTCCAAGGGGAAGCAGGTTAGCTCATGCACATTGGAGCCCAGGGAGGGTTGGTGGCGGGTCAGAACACTAGGGCCATTCCTTTGTCTTCTTCCTCACCAAGCATTCTACTCTCTGCGAGGAGAGGTGGGCGGAGGAAAAGAGGATCACACTTCATGCAGTACTGGACCACCTAGGACCACTGGACCACCTAGGAGTTACCACCTATGCCTGCCCTTCCAGCAAGCACAGGACTCTCTTCAGAAGCAGACAAGGCTCCTTCTCAACCTAAATTCTTCAGTAACCCTAAGTCAAAGACTCCAAGCGTCGGCCTGATTTCTCTTTCTCAAAGAACCTTCCTTTTTCTTGGAAGGGTAAGAGTCACCTGTGTCAGGGGGCTAATGAGCTTTCCCTTGGAACATCAGTGCCTGGGGCATGCCCTTCCTAACCCGCCAGTCCCCTTACCATCTCTCTCCCCACCCCCACTGCATCTCTGTTCCAGTAAGAACGGTCCTGAGCTCCTCATTTCTCTATGGAGTGCAGTCAGCTTGCCTGGGGACAAGGTAGGTCCCTCTCAGTCCTTACAAGCTATAAATTCCAAGGAACTTGGGCAGGGGAAAAGGACAACATAACTCCAGGTGTGTGTGTTTGTGTGTGTGTGTGTGTTAGGGGTGGCAGTGAAGATAGGCACCTATTTTTGCCACCAGTAGAGCCCTACTTGGCAGGTTTCTAAGTCCTTTTTCTCGTTTGGGATGTTTAGTGCAGCCCATAACCCGAGTTCCTCAATTCTGCCCAGCCACCAGACTCTTTAGGGGAGATTCAGTTACTCCCAAGGGTGCCTCTGAGTTCTGCTTAAGTGCAGCCACCTGCCTCATCCTGCCCACTCACACCCAGCCTGTATGCAGACCTACACCTTGGAAGAGCCAGAGAGGATGCCAGGAGAATGTATCAAGTGCCACGGGGCCTCAGGAAACGTTCATTCTCAGACAACACAACATTTACCTCCTTCTTCTTTCCCCTCACGGAACTCCAGTTCTAAACCATGTCAGCCCACCGTGCCCATGCATGATCCCAGGGCCCATTCTCACCCTTCTTAGCCTCAGAAGGTCTTGACAATCTCATCTTCTTGTCCATGATGATTTAGGAGATGTGACCTAGTTCTGGCCAAGGAGCCATGGGGGGATGTCTGACAGAGGCATCCTAGAAAGGTTTCTTCCGTCCTAAGAGAGAGACAGGCTCAGTCCTGTCCCCTGGATATTGATGCCTCTGGATGGGGCTCCGCGAACTCTCATGGCCATCAGAGGGACAAAACAGGACAAAGCAGAGTGGTGCAGAGAAGCAGAACCAGCAGTATGGAGGGCTCTGCTTGGAGCTCACCCCACTCTCCGCTTCACGTTATAGAAAAAAACACTCTTCCTTATGGCTTAAAGGCAGTCTGAGCCATGGTTTCTATCACACGAAGCTGAAAATATCCAACTTCACAACCATCCTGCTAGAGATGCCCTCCTCTCCATGACTGTGCTAAGAGGTCACCCCTGCTAGGCTAGGGACTGTACCCCTCTTCCACTAGCTAATAACCAGTCTAAAATAGATCCTGCAAAATTTGAGATCTGATTTAGAAGCAGGGGGTGGGTGGTTGGGCTACCTTCTCTGGAGACTGATGGGGAGATGGGACCACCTTCTGTTTCCACCCTGTAGCCCTTCAACAACTACATGGTGCTCAGGGTGCCCTTGGGTCCCTAACCCCTGCTACCCTTATTAGGAAGAATTTTCGAATCAAACAGCATGACCAACCCCCAGCACATACCATTTGGAACAAAGGCCTGCTGAGGCCAAGAAAAATTCTAAGCAATTTTTTTTTTAAGGCTTCTACAACATTAAAATAAAGTAATTCCAATAAAGGATTACAGAAATTATAGTTAAATGTTTACATTCTGCAAATGTAAATATGTTTCACATATCCCCACTCCCTAATAAAATATACTAGAAAAGGATCTGGTTATGGGAAGTGAGTTTAAAGTAGTGGTTTTAATGTCTTCCTTTTCTAATCTTTTCAGAAGCTCTCTGGGACAGTAAGCACATCATTTGGAGCTGATTAAAGGTCTGAATTGGAGATCCTTTGTGAGACTCTATGATGATCTCTTCGAGAATCACAAAATCATCCACTTTCCCCGGCAACCAGTCAGCCAAGCACCCATTCCCGCCAAGTCCAACTCTTTCATCCTGAGCTTCTAGTTATCAGATGTAGGCGGTAAAGGATTCAAGGTGGCAAGGACCATCATGACAGCCAGAAAAGAGGTAAGATTTTTGACAACTTCTGTCATCTGTGTGCTGAGGACACTCCAGGCTTTCAGGATCTGGGTCTGGGTTGCCCCCCTGGCTCCAGAAGACTCCACAGGCATTTGTCTCATAGCAAACTAGAGACAAAAGCTATGTTTCTCTCACTGGCCCCTCTGAAAGTAATACATAGGCGAGCTTTTGTTAAGGGCTTCCCTGATAGCTCAGTTGGTAGAGAATCCACCTGTAATGCAGAAGACCCCAGTTCAATTCCTGGGTCAGAAAGGTCCTCTGGAGAAGGGATAGGCTACCCACTCCAGTATTCTTGGGCTTCTTTTCTCAGATAGTAGAGAATCTGCCTGCAATGTGGGAGACCTGGGTTCAACCCCTGGGTTGGGAAGATCCCCTGTAGAAGGGAAAGGCTACCCACTCCAGAATTCTGGCCAGGAGAATTCCACGGACTGTAAAGTCCATGGGGTCGAAAGAGTCGGACACGACTGAGCGACTTTTCATAGCTTTTGTTAATTACCTAGGGACTTTAGGATCCTTTTCTGAAGCAGCACAACATAGTGGTCACAAAGTCAGACCATCACTTACACAGTGATTTCTATCACAAGTTTTATGTCTGTGCCTAAGTTTCCTCAACTTTAAATGGGGATAGTAATTGGTTGCCATGAGCATTAAGTGAATTGTTTATGTGATGTGTTTAGGAACAGTGTCTAACGCATACTAAATCCTACATAAATGCTAGCTGCGATTTTTCACTGTGTTACAATTTCTACCCAGGCGTAAAGGAAACTGTTGGGTGGATGGCAGGAAGAACAATGACCTCCCAGAGAAGCCCACTTCCTAATCCTTAGAACCTGTGACTATGTTGAGTTGCAGCAAAGGGAAAACTAAGACTGCAAATGGAATTAAGGTTGCTAATCCACTGACCTTGAAATGAGGAGATTATCCTGGATTATCTGGGGGGACCCAATTTAATCAGGGATCCTTAGAGAGGCAGGAGAGGAAGCAAAGCTGTGATGACACAAAATTAAAAAAGAAAAACACACACAAAAAAACCCTCCATAAATCAAAAGAAAGATGAGTCAATAAATGATGATTCTGGTTTCTCAACTTTTCTGACTAAAGGAATAATGGTTGCTTTAAACACTGAAGGTAAATAAAATAACTTCTAAATTTTCTAATAATGGGAAGCACAGTTCCATGTTAAGTCTCCTGGCTTGAAAATGAGGGGTTTCTGACACCCTTGAAAGATACAAGGTCATGATTCCATCACTCAAGATGTCAGTTTCTCAGAGGGATGCCAAACTTACTTTATTTTGATCCATTTTTAGCAGCTGCCTGGAGAGCTCGATGGGATCTCACCCATGTGAAGCTGGGGAGTTGGAATGATTAGTCATTTCTGCTATGGACCCAGGTAAGGAGTCTGGCCCCACGTGCACCAGCTATTCATTGTTCCATGAGAACGACCACAGGTGGGTCAGGCCACCAAATACCTGACCATACACTTGGATTGTGAACTGGACCACATTCGTGGGCGTCTGTGTCTTGTGTTCATGATGGCCCTGGAGAGCTTTATTTCCTCTCAATTTCCAGGTCTGTCATGTTTCATTTTATTTTCAAATGTCTAAGTTAAAAAAAAAAATATTCTCCAAAATGTATAGTGCATCTGGAAAGCTCCCTAAGTTTATTTCTGTACATGAATCAAATGACACTCCTTGTGGGAAGGAAATTTGAGTTCAAGCCCAGCAACCACGTAAGAATGACTCCTTTCTCCAGGTTTTCTAACTGGAATGTCTTCACTCCAGGGAAAAATAATATGCATTTTAGAGAGCTAGTGTGAGGATTTTTAACAACATACATAAAGTGCATTTTCCAATGTGAGGTGCTGTGAGTCAAATTCAGCCCTCAGACATGGGTTTTAGATTGAATTCATTTTTAATCTATAAAATCTACTAATTATTAGGTTAAAATCTAGGTCATCCAACTCTGTTTTTAGAAGATCGGGCCCATGTAGGTCAAATGAGCACCCCCACTGCACTTTCATGAAATTACCAGGCATCACAGCTGGCTTTTATATCTTCTAAAGAAACAGAAAACAAGGAGGCACAGTTGTGTATCTGTGGGAGGGGAGGTGGGCAGGAGATCTGAATTGCACATGACCAGCTGGCTCACAGCCTGGGGTCAGGTGGTTAGAAGTTGCTACTGGCTTCGGGTGGGTAGAGCCTAGCTCAACACCCTACAATGTATGCAGTTCAGCCCCTACCCTCAGCCCCTAACAAAGAACATGTTCCCTAACTCTCCAAAATGTCCACAGTGCCAAGGCTGGGAACCCCTGCTTTAGAGAGTGATTCCGTTAAGGAAAATAAAAAAGAAACTATGACGGAGGCACTGCAAATAGTGGGTTTCACTCTGTTTTCTGTCCTAAAGTTAACTGAAAAGCAAACAACATTTATGACTCAAGCTTCTGCAGGAAGCAGGGAATGGATGACTGTGGTTAGTGACAAAAACAGTAATAAATGGCTTTGCCTGTCTTGTCTGTTTCAGAGTCAGGGAGGGAATGAAATGACCAGTAATTATCATTTAAACTGCTGTTTTATCCTGTATCAATCAGAGCTATTCATTCTGGTTACTCTCAGACCCTTGGGCTGAAACCACACTAAATCAGGGTCACAGTCAGGGTGAGTACATAAGGCCAGCCTTCTTACTCAGTAAGTGCTAATGGCCTGGGCTGAACATCAATGGCCAGTTTCCATGAAAAAGCTGTCTGAGATCCTGATCTAGGAACACATGGTTCTATTCGGAGCCTGTTACCTTGTTTTTAATATTCTGTGTTCGCGGGACCACAGCTGTAAACAACTCCAGTCTCATTTCTCCATGAAGTTAATTTGCACTGTGTTAGCACTGCAGGCTTTTTGCATATGTTCAGGACAAGTTGATATGAGCAGGCCTGGAATGAATAATGTTTAGTAAAATCAATAAACCCTATTATTAGTCACTAAGGGAAATGATTTTATGTCTATAGAAGTAAAACAATTAGAAGAGTATTAATGGCAGATTCATCATAGTAATATAATAGCGCCAAGTAGGCTTGTCTTTTGGGAATCTTTAATTTACCATTCAGTACTGACTATGTACTCAGCCAGAGACATGGTACACATAATATAAACAAGCTCTGGCCTTTGGCGATTCATGTTGTCATCAGCAGGGACAACACTTTAACAGTAAGGGGAAGAAACAAAACTTCATTCAGTGATTCATGGAAACCGGTCATGAATAATATCCCAGTAAGAGACTGTGGGGAGAGTCTATTCAAGGTACAAAGTGCCTTTGGTCATATACCTCTTTGTATTTATCAAGACTCCTCAGTACTCTTGTTTATTGCAGTAGAAGAGTTAAGCATGGTCTGATGTCCGCGTTTATATCCTATCTATTTAGGCACCTAACTAGAAGTATAATTAAAAGTCTATATGTAATAAGCATATATCTACTCCTCTACAGCTCAGGTGAGATGAGCTTCCATATGATTTTTATTATTACTAAAGGCAGGAAAATCACCAGGAATCCATAGTATTCCCCAGCCACCACCACCACCAGGAACGTCACCATGCAGCTGGCGAAGATGCAAGCTGCCCTTAGTTCTGGTTCTGTGCCAACAGTTAATTGTTCAGTCAATTTGAGAACTGAGGCAACATGTAGGCAACCAAAAGTCACACTTCAGATGATATTCTGAACAGAGAAAACACCATCGTTTAACTGGAATAAGACAAATTACATTAGATCTTCAAGGATACTTCAAGATGTGGTCTAAGAACTGAAAAAATTTGATAACTTTAAAGAATGAGGAAAAATAGGTGGAATCCTCTGAAACATAGGAATAAACACCACAAAAAATGTTGGATGATATTCATAACAAAAGCTGTTTTCAGGTGACTTCCAAAAATAGAGCAAGTATTTTTGATTGAAGCAAAGGCCCCTCGGTAGAACTAACTGAAATATACCAAGACAAAATCTGTCAGCTTAGGAAACCAAGGGATAGAACCATCATTAGCAATTACAATAAAAGCATTAGAATTTACAGCTGGGATGAAGCATCAACCAGTCCAAAAACACGATGCACATCCCCACTTTTAGGGCTTTGGCTTCGCTTTTGCATCTCACTGAAGCGCTTTCCCCCGGAGATGCATATGGCTGCTTCCTCATCTCCTTGAGAGAGATTTTCCTGATCACTCTATTTGTAAACACCCACAAATCCCTCACGCTCACTCCCAGACTTTGTTTTTCTCCAGGGCATTTATCAACCATCTCACATACTCCACATATCACTTACATACTTTATTATGCTTACCCGGACCTACTAGAAAATGCAAACAGGAATTTTTGTCTGCTTTGCTCATGGCTGTAACCCAGCACCTGTACAGTGCCTGGGTTAAGGTAGGTGCTCAGACAGTATTTGCTGAGAATAAGGGAGAGAGAAAGGGAAGGAGGGAAGCAAAGAAAAGAAAAAAGTGAGGAAGCAGTTAATTCTGTATATTCAGCATAATGTATGCCAGTAAAACAATTTAATGATAAGTCAATCAAATGGCTAGCTGACTAAGTTTTCATACATTTTACCTACTGTCCATATGTCCACAAGACTAAAATCTTTGGAATTATCATTCCATACCACAGAAACCTGAAATTTGCAGTGATACTACATTTCATGTTCAGAGTAAATACCCAATAAAGATACATATATGCACTGAATTAAATCCACTATTTGGTTGTTAAACTTGGGTATCATATAATATCTCTGTACTATATCTTAACACACTGGACCTTCATAGATATTAAGGAACTGTTCTTTGAAAATAAGAATTATTATCAGCCAGCTAGAAATAATATGAGACAGACAAGAAGCCATTATATATATAAAAAAAAACCTTTTTAATTCTGATTGCCAAATTATTTAAGGCAGGTATAAAAAAGGAAAGCATTCAATATACATTTTACATAAAATAAACTAGATTACAGCATAAAACAAGTAACCAGGCAATGGCGTTAAAGTCTCTCTCTTCTAAAACTGGATAATTGTAAACATTAAAAAAAAAAAAACTGCAGGACTATTCAAGTAATAGAACAATCACAGATGTCTCTGGTATGCAGGCTATTGGGTTATTTGCCATTCAAGATTATCAAAAATGACACCTCATTATTCACAGATGCTCATTATTTCCCCACTTTAATCTTTACATTATATACAACACAGTTTTTGTGGTACTGGCAACCCCATGCCTTCCAAAAGTATTTTTTCCACAATACACAAGTACAAACAGTGACTACAGGAACATTTTACACTGATGCGTCTTAACAGGAGCCACCATATAGACATCTAAATTGTACCAAAGTGTCATCATCACAGTTAGCCTTTCTGAGGGGTTTATGGGAAGTATATGAAGGATATGCAAGGTTCAGGCACACTGATACATAACATTATTTATTTACAATTTTGAAAAGCAAAAAAAAAACAAAAGAAAGTAAGCAGCCTTCTGAGGCTAACACTTTCCAACTTGACAAATACATTTTTTATCTCCTTTACTGAGTGGTTTGCGACTTGGCAGCAGACCCTGTGTGTGCGAGCCTGGTTACTGATACAAAAAGTAAAGAATATATATATATATATATGTATATATACATATATGTATACGTATATATATATAAAACAGAAGTTTAATTACAGCAACATTTGTTACTCTGTGATAAAATCTGTAATTTACAAAAATGAAATGACTGGTTTTTGCCTGCCATTAAGGCATTTCAAATTAACACCATGGAACTGATGTCTGTATAAAGCGCTTCCCCATGTGATCCAGTCACATGACAACGTACATTTCCAATCTTGTTATTCTCTGCAAAAGAAAAGAAAACCTTAGCAAATGTTCCATCCACATTTGACACTGTAAATAAGAAAACTGTAAGACCAAGAGACTTATTTTAATTCTGTTCAATTCAAGGAATTCAATCCCAGAGAAAGTGAACGAACACAAGGGTAATGATATACAACATGAAAAATAAATTATTTTCCTTTTTAAAATGACTTGAGCAATAACTGAAAATATCAAAGAACAAACATTGCTTTTGCACTATGAGAGTAAATTCCTTCAGTTGCAACTTCGTTTATAAACAAAATAAAACAAAGGGAGTTATAGTGAATTGTTTTAACAAAGCATTGAAGACAACTTAAGAAAGTTTCAACCGTTTAAGAAACAGATCAGTTAATTACTAATGTACATTACAGCTATAAAAATGAGGTTCACGGTACAGAAGCTGTATCTGAAAACACGGTGACGTAATAAGCACATTCACTACAACAATATCAAACCCTTAGGAGCTAAGTGTTTGGTCTAAAAAGCCTACACTTGTTTCCTCCCACCCATTTCTCTATCTAGAAAACTGATTCAAAACATGACGCTATTTACCTTCTTTGTGCAGGAAACATTCCTGATGCAGATGCCTGCGCAGCCACCTGCTGAGAGGCCACGAGGGCAGCAGACGTCAGGCCTAATGGGGGGAAATGCAGGGTTTCTGTGACTTTCAGAAAGGTTAAGAGTAGATGCAGGTCCAATGGTGAAAGGCTGCAGACCAGCGAGTAGCCATCTGGCCTTTGCAAACACACACACACATGAAATGTTTCATGTAGCAAGGACAGACTACAAACTGCTCGGTCTAACCAGAATCCATCTCTTCATTGAATACTCTGTGGTTTTCTTAATAGCTATTCAAAGAGACTATAGCATTCCATCTCTCTGGCTCGGCATGGTGTTAAATGGTTTGCACGCATTCCTGAATAGGAAGCCCAGGAGAAATAATAGGTACCAGGTAACAACAGGAATCCAAAGTCACAGTGAATGATAGGAGCGACACGCTATTTGCTTAGAATACAATACTTTCATAATAACTTTTATCACTTTAACGTTTTCCCCAGTGACTGAACACAATGCATCCCATAAGGTACATGGAATCACTGAATTGAACTTAGAAACAGTCTTAACTTTCACCCTACGAGAGCAGAGGAGCAGTAAGAGAATATAATAGATCCAAACGGCATGAGTTGCCTAACAGGAAATTCTTTTAAATTCTATAGAAAACAATCATGGAAAAAAGGTAGAGGAAATAAAAGGAAACCCTGGGGAAATGACTCCTTCTATGTTCTGTATGGTTTCTTTAACACCACTATTTGACACCAAGTAACACGGAATTAATAAATTAAAATGACCGTTTCACACCTGGACGGCACTTCCTACTTTTGGAAATACCTTCAAACGTATTAGCTCGTATTCAGACAGCAGAGTAAGAAGGAACCTGGCAAGCAGATACTTGTCCTTTGGAAGGACACAGATTGAATTGTGTCCTTCCAAAATTCCTACGTGGTAAGCCTCAACCCCCAAAGTGACTGTATTTGGACCTATAAGGGGTAATTAAGGTTAAATGAGGTCCTAGGGGTATGGCCCTGACCTTGTAGAATTAGTGTCCCTTAAGAAGAAATAGTAACTCTCTTCCCCCCACCTCCTGGTGCCCCAAGAAGTCACAGGAACACATAAGCAAGATGGTGACCATCTACAAGTGAAGAGGAGAGCTCTCTCACCAGAAATCAACCGTGCTGGCACCCTGGTATCAGACTGTCAGCTTCCAGAACTATGAGGAAATACATTTCTGTTGTTTAAAGCCATAAAGACTATGGTGTTTTGTTACTGCAGTCAAAGCTAAGACAGCAAGGTCCAAGCAAGTGCTCCACTGGTAAAGATATTGCCACTCCCTGCCCAGGCCATGAGCTGACAAAGCTAGGACAAAAAATCTACTAAACCACCACAAGCTGTTCGTGGTTCCCCGTGTCAGTGCTGTGGCTTTTAAAAATGTTTCTCCTCTTTACTGCAAGTTTCAGTAGCAAAGGGCTGGAAGAGTCTCAGGATTAGGTTATAAAAAGTGTTGGCCCTGACCACATGACTCCCATTACTTCCTTGGGAAAAGGAGCAACTTGGAGGCCTGAAGAGATCAAGGAAAGTCATTTCACCAAAGCCACCATCCTCCCTGTCTTCCACAGTTTTCCTGAAGCAGCTATCTGATCTTCTGATTGTTATATTCAGTGCCCCAGACACTGGCCACGACCAATAACATCAATAAGCGACAATTATTAAGTGGTAGCCACTTCACGTCTCATTAGACGTGTCCCAAGGATACACCAGCAAAGAAATGTTAAAATCCCACCCCGGAGCTAATTAACTAGAAGCTCAACCTTTTCATCTGAAGACAAGAAACAGTTTTGGCAACATTTTTCAAAGCAGGATGAACAAAGACACAAGGAGAATGGATCTGCTGACCTTGGAAAGGGTCATACTGCCCAGGGATGAGTGGGTACCCCATGCCCACGTGGGTGTGGTGGTGAGTATGCAGGTGCCGCTGGCCAAAGGGGGAATGGCGGTCCCTCTCCCTCTCAGCTTCCCGCTCCCGCTCAGCTGAGGCCTTTTCCACAGGCTGCAAAAGAAAAGACAGAGTCCCCCCCCTTAATCCTTTGAGCAACAAATTGGAGGGGTGTAGTAAACCTCCTTGGTCCCTTCAGCAGTGGGTGCTGCTAATATTAAAAAAGTAAATACACAGACTCTTAAGAAATTCTTTATTAATGGTAAATCATTTCAAAAGACAGGCATTTCAATTGGAATTAAGCCAACATTATAGTCCTGTTCTGCACCACAGCAATATCAATGTTTTCCTCAAATGACTGAAATAAGAGGACCTCTCTATTCCCATTCATAATTGCAGGTTTAGAATTGACTCAATTTCTTCCTAAAAACAAGTTTCATATAGGGATTAAGGAGAAAGTGTTGCAGAGACTTCTGTAAGGTCAAGTTTTCTGATGACTCTTCTATTTAAACTACATTTTGTGAGGAGAATATATCTCACAATTTTAAACCTATCTTTATATTGGGCTCCGTTGACAACACACATCCTAATATTATATATTACATCAATATCAAGCACATGAAACCATTGCCCTGTGCCTCTGGAAGAATTCCAAAATCTTTCCATCTTTGAACACTCAGAGAAGCTCCAGTCCTCTAAAATCATAATTTGATTGAGGATCCTGTGTTTCTGAGACATTTTTTTACCCATCTGAACTTAATCGGCCTTTCACTAAAGCTCTTTTTCTTACTTTTTGAAAAAATACTTTATACTAGAAGGAGGGCTCACAGTTAAAGATGCATAAATCACTTTTTTTTTTTTAACCTTTAGAGTTTCACGTAGAAACACTCAGATACACATCACAAAGCCTATGTTTAATTTTTCCAACCTTTTTTTTTCTAGACCAGAACTACCACATCCTTTGTATTTTCTCCCTTCCCAATAGTCTCTGGGACTTTCCTTGCAAGGGGTGGGGAAGCAGAGCCATCTTTCACAAAGATATATGTCTGAATCACTTCAGCAGAATTACAGGGATGTGTGGAGGGGGTCAATGTTGAAGCAGAACGGATGCAGTCACCACTATTTAGCCAAGTGACTCAGCAGCACACGAGTGCATCAGAAGTATTTTGCACCGAAGGTTGGTTCCTATGAATTTAAACGTCTGGCTTAACTAGCATCCTCCTGGGTAAGCAAGGTAACAGATTTTCCAACAGAAGAGGCTGCTACTACCATACATGCTTTAACGTTTTTCCCCCTCGTGTGTGAAAGCATCTTATTTTAAACATGCCATTCTTTCCTTATTAGAAAAACAAAACAGCATTCTTAAATCACAGCTGGGTTCCAAAGCCATTTATATTTCAAGACTGTTCTCTAGCTTGTCCCCTCTTCCCCCTAAAACATAGTGCTTTTAAGTGACAACAAAAGGAAGCTTACAGCAGGAGACTTGCTGCGGTATTGGTTGGCATGCTGCTGGAGCAAATCCAGTGCTTTCGATTCAGTGGCTGTTTTCGTGTTGATGCTAGGGCTGGTATTGACTTTCTCTGCCTCTTCTCTCCCTGACATCTTCCCATAAACAGGATAATGAAATCCTGGAGAGAGATAGGCCCCTGCAGACACACAACAAATGCCACATCAAGTTACAAACGACATCTTTAAACAGAAACAACAAACCATTTGGATTATATGAATTTGGGATAAGAGTCGGAGATCTTAAAACAGGGACTATTCCATTAAGAATGGGCTATATCGTCTTTAAACTGTATCGAGGTTCTCCGATTCTCTTCTCCCCGTTAACCCATCCTGATGATCAGAGGTTCTAAAAGAGAACGAGCTTACAGCCATTTCATCTGTTTACGTCAATTAAGTCAAAAGAACAGTAACTGTAATGATTATGACAGTAAGTGTGCAGAATATATTCCTAGGCAATAAAGTATCTGTCAGTCTCATAGCTACAGCAGACCATCAGATCCTATGGAAACTACAGCTAGTTTGACATTTCATCTAAAAAAAATAAATCTTCCATTGATTCCGTTTTAGCTTAGGGACATCTTTAAATAGCATTAAAAACAAGCCAAACAATGTCACTCTTGAAGCCTCTAATTTATCCAGAATTTTAAAACAGCTAGTACTTGAACACAGCCTCTTCCCTCCAAAACAGTGAGAACCCATGACACGTACCAGGGTAACTGTGCATTAGGACGGGAGAAACAGCCCGGTATGCAGGGTGGCTGGGGTCATACATCTGCGGGTAAGGATAAGCATGCAAGTACTGTATGTAGGACTGATGCTGACTCATGGGCGAGGAGACAGCCACTCTGGTTCCCCGAGAGTCCTTCCAGTTCACGGGAGTCTTCCGATCATCATTTTTCAGTTTGCCCTCATCCAAGGACTGAGAATCAGGACGTTTGACCTCTTTGGGCTCCTCTTTGATGCTTGTTAACGATACAGGAAGGCTGGACACACCACTCTCTTTGTTGGGGGTTTTTCTGGGACTATCCTCTTTTAATTTCTTTTCTCTATCAAGTTCTTCTGACTTTTGTGGATCCAGGTATTTGGGTTGGTACACATAATGATGCCATGTCCTTGTATCTGGATCCTGGTTTTGGAAAAAAGACTTATTAAAATTAAATTAACATTTTTAAGAAAAATTCATTCATCACCATGACAGCATTATTACTATTACCTCTAATACTGAGGTAACATTTACTTATATGCTTACACTGTGAGCTTTACTGCCTCCTCTTATGAAGGAATGATGTCTAAGGCTGGCATGATTAATAATCTCTTTTACAGAAGACAAAAGCAAAGCTCTTAAAACTCAAGTAGCATCATGGTCACACTGCTGCCCAGTTTGTGGAACTGGGCTTCAAAACTTAGCTTGGCTGGAATTCAGAGCTGGGGTGTTAATGTCAATTCTTAACATTAAATAACACCCCCACACATACTCAATCTAACTCTCATTTTTCCCTTACTATCTTACATAGGTAAAAAGAATATAAAAAACTCAAGCTGAAGTTTTACCTACTGTTTAAGTTTTAATATAGTTTAAGTAATTATATCAATTAACATCATTTAGAGGGGAAAACTCTTGGTTTCCTAATATACTTTCTTCATCTACTGCAGCCAAGGCTGACTAGAAACCAGATCGTTTCATTAATCAAAACAAAATTAAAAATTAACACCTCACATCATGGCTTTACTACTAGGAAACAAAAGCATACATGACATGCCCCCCCCCCCCACCACCCCGCAAATTGTACAGTTCTAATGCAGCCCTGTGATGTCACAGCCTGATTCGACTCCAGAAGTGGAGAAACTGAGGGTCTTTAAAATGGTCTTTGTGGCTCCCCTGTAACCCATCCCATTCATGCTACAAACCCACTGGGTGCTTAGGGTTAAGGGCCAACTTTGGGGCAGAAATAAGTATGAAGAAAGGATTCTGTTGCTCTGATTCACCGGGGACCTCTATATGCTGCCTCTAAGTGAGGGCTAGGGTGCTGGGAAATACCAGAATTAATACTTCTGGGACTACAGTTGAGTCAGGATGTCTGAATCATGACAGAAAATGCTAGCACGTGTGGTTTCATGGTGACTGATTTTCAGGTGTCGGCGCATTTAACCTCAGGCTGGCCGACCGCGGGGCTCTGGGATGACTGCCTGAGGCCCATCCCCCTATCTCCTCACTCTCCTCACAAGCAAGAGGCACTGAGCCCCGCTTTGAGGCCCTTAATATAGAGCATGAAACAGAAGTCTAGACAGCTCAAGACACTCTGAGTTTCATTAAAAAGATAAGTAGGAAATGTGAATTTAACAACCCTGTGTCTTAATATTCCCAGATGCCGCCAAAATAAATTTGGAAATGTAAAATAACAAATTATTTGAGTTCTCAGACTCAGGATCTTAGCGTTAGAAGGGACCTCAGCCACCACAGGGTAGAATTCCCTCGCTCTGGACTCAGTAAGACAATAAGGGACTTCATCAGAGTCAGTTAGTGGCAGGGAACATGAATCTGCAAAGCACACGGCCAAGGTTCTTTTTACTACACAACACGACAAGGAAATAGTGAGCAATGTACATTTCAGAGGTACGCAAGAAATCCTGAGAGAATCACTTAGAACACTTTCCGAGAGAAGGGAAATCCAGCCCAAGGAACCCTTGGTTGATTCCCTGTGAAGAACTCTAACCAGATCGAGACCAGCCATGTGCAGGTCGCAGGCCGCACTCTCCCTGTGGGGGCCGCGCTCTCCAATCTTACTTGTTTAAATCTCGAGGTTGGGTCTACACCTGTCTGCTTCATAGAGTCCATGACAGATTTCATTTCTACAGCCTCCTTAATAAGCTGGTGGTTCTCCATCTGCTTAGCTTTGAAGCTGTCGGCCTGAAGCTGCTGCTGGTGACTGGAGAGAAGCTGCGATTTACCTGTCTCCTCAGTTTTATTAGGCACTGACGGCCCTAGTTTAGAATGGTTTTTGTTAGGCTCCGGAGTAGAGGGAGCTTTTGAGACTGTGGCCGATGGCATGGTTTTCTGTTTACTGTCCTCCTTGGCCAGCTCTTTCACAGGGAGCTCGTTTTTCCTTTCACAGTCTCCTCTCCCAGTTTGGGCCAGTTTCTGCTCTGCCAGCCTCTGGTCCTCATAGTACTTCTCATAGTGCTGTCTATAGGCAGGGCTGGTGGCCACGAGAGACTTCTGGTCCATATAGAGCCCGTAGGCATACTGGCCATAATACAGTGACTGAGCCAGGGCCGGGTGTCTCTGGGTGATTACCGACTGGTGCTGAGGCTGTAAGGATGCAGCATTGTGGTCCACTTTCTTAGCCTCGAGCTGCTCTGCCTTGTCTTTCTTGTCCGCCTCTTCCTCGGACTCCTTCTTGATCTTCATGCCCTGTGTGCTCCCGCCGCTCCCACCTACAGGGGCGCCCACTTGCCCAGGGTGCATGTAGCTGGGGGAATAATAAGGATCGTAGCCATGGTAATAGGGGGAGTGGGGCTCTTTCATTTGAGATGATTGTGCTGTCGTTGAATGCCCTTTCACAGCGCCGTCCTTACTAGAGAGTATATCTGATGGGGAACTGGTCTTTGACCTCAGGCCCTCTGACCTGCTGTCAGAACCACCGTCATCAGCAGCATCGGAGATGTCTGAGTAGGCGGGGCTGCTTGTCTTGGCCGCGGAACTCTCGGCCCCGTTCTGGGTCAGCACGTGCAGCGGGGCCACGGGCGCCTGTCCGTTCACCAAAGTGCTGCACTCCATCCTTGAGGCACTCCCGATGGAAGGGCTGGGAGCGTTGTCTGTAAAAGTGTAAACCTTATCAGCCTCGGCTTTGATACTAGCCATCCGACTCTCTTGAGACTCGGATAGTCCATTTGCCAGCCCTTCATTCTTGCTGAGATGGTCCTTTAAAAAATGTCCGGATAAATCTTTCCCAGTGCCCTTGGCATCGTCTAGTTTGCCCAGCTTCGCATCCATTTTCGGGCTCCCCGTGTCTTTCCCTTCTTTGTCCTTCAGCTTTCGCTTCTCCTTTTTCTTTTTGTCCTTGAGCGACACGAGGGCTGGGTTCACGGTGATGGGCTCCCCCATAATTGTGGGCTTTGGCTGAATGGGTTTTAATGGAGGACTCTTTGGTGTGGCCTGAACAACTGTGGTCAGTCCGGGTATGGTCCCCGTAGTGGTGCTTGGAAAGGCTGCAGTGGGAATAGCGATTAGCTGTGGGGGTGTGGGAGCCGGGGCAGGGGCAATGGGCCGGGCAGTTTTAAGTTTAGAGAGGTTTTTGTCCATTTTGCAATTGCTGGCTTTTTTGCCCTTTTCTTTCTCTCCCAAGGTTTTCTTGTCAATTAATCCTTCTGCTTCCAGTTTTGGCATTTCCACAGTCAAACTGCCGTCCACTGCTGAGCAGCTGTCTAAGGTGGCTGTCATGTTGGAGATGACTGGAAGATTGTTGAGGTCATTGTTAAGACCCTTCTTTTTGCCAGAATTCTTCCCAGCCTTCGATCCAATAACAGAACCTGGGCCGTTGCTCAGGAGCTCTCTCTTTCCCTTGGGGGTGCCGGGGGGGTTCCCTGAGCCAGGGGACACCGGCGCCTTCACCTGCTCATAAGCTGATACACTTGTGCTTGGCTCGCTGCATTCCAGCGCCACATTGCTCAAGGCCTCCTCGCAGTCTGAGATCTTGTCCTCACTATCTGGCTCGAACTCCAGCTTGTTCTCTGGGTCTAAGTGGGCATGAGCCTGGTGGTACCTGAGGCCGTTGATGTGCTTGTACTTTTTGTTGCAGTTTGGGTGGGGACAATCAATCAACACGGGAGAAGAACAGCCCTGGTCCAAAAAAGTCGCCTCTGGTTTCCCTTGAGGGGTGGTGGGAGTGCTTCTGGAATTCGTGCGGACGCGCTTCCCGGGCTTACTGTCCTCAGAGCTGGAGTTCAGGTCGAGCTCCATTGGAGGCTTGTTTTTCCTTTTGTTGGTGGAGGAGGGGCTGGCTTTGATGTCCTCAGCAGCACAATTCGGGGGTGTCCTCCGCCCGCTGGCGTTGAGGCTGCCCCGCCTCCCCTTCCCATTGGCACCCCCTCTGTTCTTGTTCTGCAGTCCTCTGGACTCCGCAAAGCTGGCCTCCGAGCCCGGGGCCGCTGCGGTAGACCTCGCTCTTTTCCCTCGGCCGCGGCCCCCTCTCATCTCCAGGTCGCTGGTCGGTGACTCGCAGAACCTAGGGAAGCAAGTAACAGCCGTCAAAACGAGCATTTCCAAAGGAGCCAGGTGAAATCACAAGGCATGCAATGCAGTAAAGAGCAGTCAACACCCCAGCAGCTTGAGGGCGGGGCCCGGGTGAGGAAAAGACACCCAATTCTTCCACGGACAGTTTCAATACCTATGATAGATCAGGCTACCCATGGCTTATGTTCTTCCCCAGAAAACCAGCTCAGGTAGCTAAGTTTCCAATGTAGTTCCAATTCCCGTGAGGACAAAAAGAAAACAGAAGAGATAGAGCAGGGGCAGGAAGTAGTGATCACCCTAAAAACAAGCAATGTGGCACCTGCATTTATTGTGTTCAATCCTGAATTGCTCATTGCTCTTTGGCTTGGTTTCAATTACAAATTGACTTTCAAGTATTATTCATCTCTCTCTGCAGTTTCCTTGCAAAGAGAAGGAGAGGAGAAGAAGAGCAAGGAGGAGAGAAGGACAGAGGCTGAAATCAAAGGCCCCGTGCCTACCTGGGCGGGGCCCAGTCGTGTTTGGTGCAGTCCAGTAAGGTCCCTACGTAAGTCTTGTTCCTCCACGTGACATTGACCACTAGGACACCTGCAGGAGTGGGGAGTGAAGAAGGACCAAGGTTAGCACAAATTACCCTATTTCCAGTTCATTTATTATTACTCTTCTTTTTACCAGCAAAGCTCTATTCTCATTTGCTTTCAAAAGCTGTGGTTTGCATTCTTCCTCTTTCTGGTTTCAGTGACCTCAAGCAAAAACCCACAGGAAATCGTGTGTGTGTGTGTGTGTGTGTGTGTGTGTGTGTGTTCATGAGCATACTTGTGTGGTACAAAAGGGTTAGGCTGTGTGTGAGAGGGTAATCAAGATACTGCTGACAGAAGGAAATGGTTTTTGCCATGTCCTGCTGTAAAACAGCAACACTCACCTCTTAATTTTTCTATTATTACACATGATTGCTTTCGTTTGGCAAGCAGCCAACAAAAACTAAGCGCCAGTTACCAGTGCTTAAAACAGAAAGTGGCTGAAAGGAATCGGTTTTGTTTCCAATTCAACAATATAAAATAATGGTGATTTTTATTTAGGGGAAAAAAGGATGTGCGTGCACAAAAAGAGGTCTAGAGGCAGGGAAAGAGGGAGCTTGCGAGTTCAGATAGGAGACAATCAGCTATGATTTCTTTTTCCTAATCCTCTCCTCTCTGGCTTTCTGAGACAAGAATTAGCCTTGGTATGGTATCTATTTCACTGTTTGGTCTTGTTTCATATTAAGGACTCCTAAAATAGCCCTCTTAGGAAAATATATGTACACAATAGGTTTGCTCTTGGGGTTATCTTTAGAATCAACTTTAGTAAGCATTTGCCACAGAGGATAAGGAAAAAAAAAAAAAAACCAACCCTCAAAACCAACACACTTGTTTCCTGCAAGCCATTCTGCTGTTCCCAACTGCTTTGCAGACAGACAATTTAACTTAGCACTGCATCTGTGAATTACTAAACTTAAATGCACTCAGTATACCAAATGTCATAGGGAAACAAAATATGACATCCTCTTTATTTCTCCAGAGGACAAGTGCCTTAAAAAAAACAAAAAAAAAAACCTCATTTCTTTAAAAGCACACATTAAAAGGAGGTAGATTTTGCTTTTGAGACATGTATAAACTATTTGGGTAAAGAAATAAAGTAAGTGTGTCTTAGTTTCTATAAACCACTAATCTCCCTTTTTCCTTGGAAACACCAAGGGACAATATTCAAAGTCTATTTCTAGCTGGTTTACACACTTGCTCACTGCCATTTGAATTCTGCAGAGAACTTGCATTGAACTCCTTTGTGGTAAGGGACACCTCACAAGGTAAGACTCATTTCCTTGGGCATGTCTTTAATAGCAGGTAAAATATTTGGATAGTTGGGACTCAAGTAGTGGGGAAGAAAGGATTTCTTTCAAAAGCCCCAAAAAGAGATTTAAAAATTATTTCCCATATGGTCCTGTGACAGCTGAATTTACTCACTATATCAATGGTGGTGGTGGTGGTGGGAGGGGGAGTTACATGAAGGAAAGTAAAGCATTTCCTCAAATCATAGTTGATTCCATTCTAATTCCTTCACAGGAAAAAAAAACAAAACACTCAAGTCATTGAGTATAAAAATGCTTATTGAGATGAGAGTCAACGGTAATTAGGCATTTGGTAAAAATGTGCACAAGACAGAACAATTGGAGGAAAGGATTCTTTATGAGCACAACCCTTCAGGAAAAGGGAGGGGGTGGAGACAAGGCGAAGGGGAAGACGGAGCTGGTTTTCTCATCATCTGCTCTCTGGGGCACTGTGTGTGGTGTCAAAGACCTTTGCAGCTGCTTAAAATTCTTTAGCATGTCAGCTATATTTACAGTGCAGGAATATATCTGTATTGCCAGAAGGTTACTGCATTTTAGCTAGATGCAATAGGCTGAATCACTGCGTTCCTGAGTCCCTGATGTAGCGCAAATGTATAATTAAAATTGCTTGAAAGGAAACATGAAAGAAACAACAAATCCTCCTTTCTTACAGTAATAAAATTAAAAACAGGAAAAGTCTGCACAGACACTTAACATTTGTCTGCAGTGAAAGGCTTTTGTTATTGCTTTTCCCCAAAGGGTTTCGCGTTTCCAGCAAATGCTGGCCGTGGATTGGCCGGCGCCTGCGGGGAACGCCAGCGTCTCATTGGCTGAGCCGAGGGCGGCCGCCCGGAGCAAAGGCTGGGGATACAGGAGTACCGCCGGGCGAAGAGGAGGCGCCCAGGCTGCCGCAGCGATGGACCGTCCGCAAGGCGGGGGCACGCTCCCCAAGCCGGGGTTCTCTTGGGGACAGAGGGCTGCCGAGCTCCGTAAATCAATGCGGGCTGGTCCGTGTGATGAAAGGCTACTGTCCACGTGGCCGTGCTGAGTTTCCCACCACGACCCACGCAGAGTTGCTCCAGGAAGCACACCAGCCTGCACACCACCCTCAGCATCGAATTCCTGGTCTTGAAACAGGACAAAGGTAAACGTGGGAGCCGGAGAGAAGGACGGAACCCCAATATGCAGTAGCTAATCACTGAGTGTGTGGGGTTATCGAGTGAAGCTATCACAGGCGAAACAACTTCCACACTGCAAAACTGTTCCCATCGCCTGATACTATTTCTAGACGCCACACTTGTCTAAGTACAAGTAACAATCACCATTATTAGCACTTGGTGGGAATAAAATTCTTTTTAAAAATGTCAACTTTCCACCTAAAAGGGCCTCAATAAGTTAGGCTAATTTTCCTAGAATCCCTCCATATTTTAAAAGATGCTCAAAATAAGTGCTCTAATCCCGGGAAGATCTGAATAGTTTCTCTAATTAAATACAGGTGTTTGGTCTATTTTTCCGTTATATGCACAATCCACTTCACAATGTCATGGAATATTTATGTCAGCCTAGAATTCACGTGCGGAATGCAAGCATGCACATGTTTATGCAGCCCAATCTGCTCTGTATGGGAATGAGGGCTTAAGGAACGCTTCTCATATAAACTACAAAGCGTACGTTTGTCAGGAAGTCCATGTTCAGACAACATCCTATTGTGAGGGGCCAAGTACAAAGGGAGTGTTGAGCTCTAAAAAAACATATAAAGGACTTATCTTTTCGAAGTCAGGACATCTTGAACCCTTTCTAACCCGTGGTGATACAAAACAGACTATACTTTTGTGAAAACGAGTCCTTTAAAAGTTCAAATTTTATAAATCTGGGCATGGTTATTTTTCTCACATAAACTAAAAATAAAGGTACACTTATTGCAAAAGAGTTAACTTTACTGCACATTTATTCTTTCAAACATCTTGCTAATTTGTCAGGTGCTGGGGACACTCTGTACAAGTCCTTTTCATCTTTATCTTCTCAAGTATCCCACCAGATTTATCAGCTTCCCTTCCTACCCACATAGGGCTTCCCTGGTGGCTCAGATGTAAACAATCTGCCTGCAATGCAGGAGACCTGGGTTCAATCCCTGGGTTGGGATGATTCCCCTGGAGAAGGGAATGGCTACAACTCCAGTATTCTTGCCTGGAGAATCCCATAGATAGAGGAACCTGGTGGGCTACAGTCCATGGGGTCCCAAAGAGTTGGACACAACTGAGCAAGCTAACACTTTTACTTTCATTTTTCCCACCCACAGACTGGGCATGGTTTTTCTCAAAATGCTAATAATGCCTGCCCTGTAATACTTTACATTTGAGAAATATCTTAAGATTACTACCAATGAAGTAAAAACAAAGCTGAAAAGAGCAATGGGTGGTTTGGGTGAGCTTCCCACATAGAGTTTTCTTCCTTGTATTAAGGGTATGTCTTAGATCCTAATGCACAATCTGAGCTGCCACCCCCACAAAGCATTACCACTACAAGACACTTAAATAAGAAGGTGATCTGCGTTCTATAACATGAGCCCCTTCCCTACCTCTACAAGCCAAAAGAGGCCTGAGATCCCCTAAGGATTCCACATTCACGGCATTCTATTATCTCCTCTTGTCAATACTCAGCAGTTAAGTGATCCCAGAGAGATGGTCAGGCCCATTAAGCATTTATTGTACATCTACAGGGTATATACAACACTAGGAATCTATTTAGGGCTATGGAATCAGCCATAGGTTGCCTGTAACTCCATCCAGACTTTATACTTTTAAAAGTCTGCAAACAGCACATAAGCATACCTGCTAGTCCAGAAGTGGAAGTATAGTTAGCATATTACCCAAACTAAAAGTAGGTCCCTTACCCCATCTTATTCAACTAGACCCAGCACGAGACTTTCACAGTAACTGCTCTGCCTGAAGTTCCTGTTCAGAGGGAAGTCTTAGGCAACTAGGCTCCTAGACCAGTAATCCTAACCATGGCCTCATCTGACTGCTCTAGGTAACTAAAGCAGAGGATGACTAAACAAGGACTTGCTTTGGGAATCTGACTAGTGATATGGAAAGCGAAGTTGATAGTAAGAGTAGAAACCTATAGGTCACAAGGTACTGAGGGTGAAAGGCCAATGGGTGGCACAAGGCCCTCATATCTCTGTGTCCCTTTCCCTCGTGCTTCAACTCTAAAGGGGCAGGGGAGAGGGGCTGGAGAAGCTCCCACTGGTATCCAGGGCGGTCCCATTAGTTTTTAGTCATCTTGTTAGAAAGATGCTCCTGGCTCTGAACTAAAATCTGTCTTTGAACACCTAGGTCCTGGCTGTGGCTTCTGATACCCTACAGACAGTCCCCTTGACAGCCTTGCAGCCACGCAATGTCAACACTCCCTTCCCCTCCAGCATAAGCGAGTGTCTTCAATCATTCTTGATACCACATTTTTAACTGCCCTGGGGCGGGGGGGATCTTTAACAATGGACTCATCCAAATTCTCAAGGCAAGTTAAGGCTTCTAATAAATTAGAACCAGAGACTGGGCTTCCCAGGTAGGGCTAGTGGTAAAGAACCCACATGCCAATGCAAGAGACATAAGAGACACAGGTTAGATCCTTATTTGGGGAAGATCTCCTGGAGGAGGGCATGGCAATCCACTCCAGGTGAATCCCATGGACAGACGAGCCTGGCTACAGTTCACAGGGTCGCAGA